TTAAGCTGCACAGATAAGCTCATCATAATTTTCACACTGAACGGGGACCTTTTTGTGTTCCCTCATTTATATTACAGTCTCATAGTGGATGATACCACCTTAGCTCATTTGGTTGAAAACAAAACATGCAATCAGGGCAGTAACAGCAGCCATCAGCAGCCCAGGCAATATGGTATTTTGATAGGATTATCAGATTCATGAACAACCCATAGTACAACCTCATTCTCCTGTATGAATGGCCAAATGGTCTGCACTGCTCTTAGCTCAGACAGACCAGGAAAAAGGTAATGCCCCTTCATATATTAATTAACGCTCATTTTACTCGTCCTCCTCCTTCCACATCCTCCACAGTGGACATGACTATTAGTGGTGAAGTAATTAAAAGTGGCATAGACATATGAAAACCTCACTAATGACTCCATAAACCTTTCATTCCTGGACTATCAGCTGCTCACCCAAGTGAAAAGAGCTCATTGTACCGTGCTGTGAGCTCAAGAGCTGGTGAGACAACCATACCATTGCCCATGAGACAGGAGGCGGATTATTAGTTGTACACTCAGCTTTTCAAAACAGTGATGGAAAGCTGCAGGGATGATATAATCCCTAAACCTCAGAATCACTTTGTTGACTTGAACCTACAGCTGATTTGATAAATTTTACTCTCTCAGCCGTTTCTTTAACATGAATTTTTCCTAGAGCGCCCAGATATCTTAGAAGGTATAAACGGGGATTGTTTGTGGTTATAAACAAGGCAAGCCAACTGGAATACAGCCTCCATTTGAACAAATCTAATTATCCACCATGACTTTTCTCTGTCCTAAGGTGACATCTGCTTCCTACAGACGGCCTGATTGTCTGAGTGTTCCTCCTAAGACTTCATATTAGTGTGTAATTATCTATTAATTTGCAGGCTTTCCGGTCTTAACAAGGCTCCTAATTAGTGTTTTATTGAAAGCTGGTGCACCGGAAAGGTCAACCACCCAACCTATATGATACCATTAGAGCACAAACTTAATGCAACCAGACAAAGGTGCTGTATGCTGTCTGCTGCAGGTTTCATGCAAAATACTGTGACATCTTTAGACTTTTTTGACCTACATTGCCTTGTTTCCATGGACACTTTAAGGAAAACAGTCCTTTAAGTTAAAGGCTTGGGTTTGATTTCAACCCGCTGCCTTTTGAAGTGAAAATGTGAAAACAAGAAGACTACTGGTTTCTAGTCTGGTTTTCGGGTGCCTCTTTCCTCTATTCATCCCTCCCCACTCAGCTGTTATACTTCACCACCATCCTCCCCCTACTTCGCCTCCATCATAACCCTCAAGGGAGGATCAGGGTGAAACAACTTCGCCCAACCATCCCAATCCTGTGCATTAAGCATTACCAGATTACCAGAAATGGCAAAATGTAAGCGCTTGTACCGTACGACCCTAGGGTGACTAATCTGACTTTCATAGGAGCTCACTTTGGTTTATACTTTGTGTAGACAACTGTATAAAACTTAATGTGATAAAAACATCACGAGTACCATACACTTTCACTCAAAGGAGCTTTTCATCGTTTAGGTGCTAGTGTGGTTATGAAACTTTGATGATCCAGTCTGCAGTGGGTTGGTTTTCTTTGTTAAGTTTCTTCTTTGTCCACAGGGGGGCGCTCAATTTGTCACAAACTGAAGTTGTGTCTCAGGAGCTTTGATGTTTAGCTTCCCTTTTTTTTTTTCACTTTAATTAGCTTTTGCAGTTTTATTTTAAAAGTACAAACAGTGTCTATTTAATCTGACACAGGTGAAGTAAAAGTGAAAATACTTCCTCTCAGGAGGGAGACCTTTCGTTCTCTGCAGAGTGTATAATAACAGGTTGTCTCTTGATTTGCTTTCGAGCATCAGTGAAAAAAAAAAAAAAAAAGAGGCACCCGATAGTTCCTGGTGGGTAAATTGGGGACCTCAACCATTGCTCAACTCCGGCACATTTTTATAATAGCATGATGTTTACAAAACAGCAAGTGACTAACTGCGTTTGTATGGCTCCTTACTGTGAAAATGCAGGGGTCAGAACAGTATGGGCTTCTGTGTGCTTTTAATGGGCAGAGACACAAACGCCCACTGTGAACACGTTTGAAGCCCCTTGTTTGGCTATTGGTAAACGTTCCTTATTTTATTTTATTTTTTGTGGTTGTGTCACTAATGAGAGGAGCTCATGTTGTTCAGTAGTGTACGTGCGGTACACCCAAATATGTGAAACCACATTTGGTGTTGTAAATAATTACTGAACTTTGTTTAACAAGCACTTGCTCTTTGTAATTTAGCTCTGATTATAGGAGCAAGAAGTATGTTCGCTTTATTAGATGTAGCCCTGAGTGAATATCGGTGAGTTAAGGAGAGAAACTGTAAGTGAAACCTTTGTCACTGAAGTTGTAAACCCTGGTTGCCTACTGTGGATGAACTTCCTGTCCAGCCTTCAGACACAATCTGGGGAAAGATGTGAGTGCTGTTCTTCTTGCTCTGAGACTCTACCTTTATTCTCAGAGTTGGTAGTTGACTAAAATCGCTTTAAATGAAAGCCATAAGCTTTGTGTTAGTCCTGTATATGACTGATAGTAATTTTGGGGTGAATCCATTAACTTCAAAATAAGTTTTAACTGCGACAACTAATGGTGGCAGAGCCTGGCTGGGTTGTGCCGATGATAGTCTAGCTTGATTTTGCGTTATCACGAGAGTTCGCCAGCTTTCACTACTCTCACAGCAACCTCTGTATTAGTTTTTTTACACTTAGTAGTGTAACGCTCCAATTTATTTCACAAGATTCCTGATGTGTACCAAGTTGCACCCCTTTGTGTCACACATTAAGAAAAAAAACATTGCTCAGATTTATTGGTCTATATTGACATGACGGCATAACGCAGCTGCTGCATCTTTCTCTAATCTAACTGGTCCACCATTACCTCTGTTCGACTGAGATCGGGTGGCTGTGGAGGCCCTTTGGCCCATCACCCTGCTGGAAGTGGCCCTAAGAAGGTAGGCTGTTGCATTCTATCCATGCTGAATTGATATGCAGGGGTTGTTAGTGTGCCAAGAAACTGTCTCATATGCCATTACACCTTGTTGAGCAGCCAGAACTGCAGATACGAGGCAGGATGGATCCATGCTTTCATGTCTGACCCTACCATCCACATGTTGCAGCAGAAATCAAGACTCACTGGACCAGGCGGCATTATTCTCATCTTCTATTGTTCAATTTTGGCAGTGCTGCCCAAATGGATTGGAAGCTGCCATGTGATTGGCTGATTAGATACTGGCATTAACGAGCTGTTGAATAGGTGTACCTAATAAAGCGGTTGGTGAATTTATCTCTGCAGCTGCTGAATTGAATGCTATAAAACTCGATTCACAGCCAAGAAGCACAGGTGTTTGGAGTTTATCTGAATCAACCCCCACTTGTAAAGGGCTGCTTGAGCACGCTCCCTCGGAAAAACAGCACCTTCTCAAACAGATGATCCTTCACCCAAACCCGCTGTGGCAGGTTGTCAACCTTTTTTCACTTTCATGTTTGGAGCTGCAGCTTCTCCGCCAGTTTTACAGCTGTATCTTTCTCCTCCTGGTATCAACACTTGTTCTAAAATTGTCAACATGAAAGTTATAGCGTTCTTTCATCTTCCAGGGAAGTGAGTGACTACCCTCCTCTGTTAACAACCCCTTAATGCCTCTTCAAAATGATAGGCAGATTTGCAAGACCCTGAAGTCTCTCTTGGATGAGACAGCCTGGGAGGTATGAAAAGTTATTGAAGTAGACAACAAAGTAAGTGCAGGATGCAAACGGCTAGTGGCACCAAATCAAAGCTCTGCGGATGTGATTACCCAAGGGCGGCATAATCTCATTCTTAGACCTTTTAAATAGCACCCTACCATGGTCAAGACCGGCCTTATTGCAAGCAGTGATTGGAGTCACAGGTCAAGTTATCTTACAAGCAAAGTATCTTCAGTCCTTTAAAATCTGATGCTTTTTTATCAGCGAATCAGTTATTTACTGGACCCGCATGATTGGCCTCCTTAATGATTTTATTTGTGGGCTTTTGCTGTTAATGGTCCATGTGATGAGTTGACAGGAGAACAAATTTGTCTGGTCAGCGATGATCCCAAAGTATTCTCTTTTGTAGAAGTACAGCAGTGAAGCTCATACAATCTATTGAAGGCACTCAGAGCAGCAGCGGACTGTGCTCAAAATCCATTTTCCTCCAAGTAAAGGAAATAGAAAATCAATAATGTAGAAGAGGAATTTCATGTGTACCCACTTCCCGTCCTGATCCAATTTACTGACCAGATAGTATATTCCACTGAAACCTGCATTAGTGTTCAAAGCACAAACCCTCCAGCAAATACACTTCTGACTGTCTATCTGACTGCTGTCTATCTGTGCACATAGTACACTGATAATTGGAAATCTTTGCATGTTTATAGATCCGGCGTTCTTTAAAGGAGTAGATGTTTAATCATACTGAAGAGCACTGATTAGAAAGAGCCAAGTTTACACACATTTTTTACAGACCCAGAGGAAAAACATGATGCCTTCATCCAATCTCTACATGTGTGTGTGTGCACCCACCACCACAACCTCAACTCAGACCGTCACTCATGTTCTCAGCAGCTGCTTGGATCTTTGCAAAATGTCCTTTTTTTACCTTTTAAAGATGGATGGATGGATGGATGGATGGATGGATGGATGGATGGATGGATAGATAGATAGATAGATAGATAGATAGATAGATAGATACGGTCAGTGTCCTCCACCTCCTCCACATCTTCTCTCAGGATGCACAGCGGCCGTGAAGCCGTCCTCTTCTTCCTGAAGTCGATGACCGTCTCTTTGGTCTTGGTGACATTCAGCCTCAGGTGTTTGCATCATTCATCTTTTATCTTGTTTATCTCATTTATCTTATTTTAATGTGTCGTTTTAAGTTCATTATTATTAAAGGCAGAGTGTTGGTGTGGCTAAAAAATTAATCGGGACCTTTAAACAATAACGATAGGCCTCAGGGTGTGTGGCATTATCATTGCGCGAAGTGAATCCACAGCTCTGTTTAGTCTCACTGTGGCATTTTACTTTCATCTGAGGGTGTAGACCAGAGTTAGAAAACAGGAAGTGGGGATGAGTGTCTGCTGATGTCAGAAAAGGATGTGGTACTTGCACAAATGCTGCAGTTGGATCTTCCAGCATCTTCCCCTCTATCATTGTCCATAATAGGTCAGCTGTGCAGTGGGATTTGGTCACAGTCATTCTCTAACACATCATTAACAGGCCAAAAAGAAGAGAGCAAGAGTCAGCTTCTGGTTTTACGTGTCGCTACTAAAGGCCTGTGGAATTTGGACTTGTGGTACCAGTTGTTAAAAGTTGAGGCACTTGGAAATGTGTCAAATTTACATAAATATTCAAAACTACAAGAAAACTTAGTAGCCCAGAAGTGAATTAAGTTAAAAATGTGTCTACAATGTCCTTGAAGAGGTTTGGACAGTTGATTCACAATGATATGAGAGCAGTGTGTACAACTATTTAAAGAAGTGGGAGAATTATGAGTTTTCTGGAGCTGAGGAAAGTGTAAGGGGTTGAAAAAAACAAAATGGAAAGGAGGAAAACCAAACTCTGCTACTATTGCTGCTTTTCCCTGAGGTACTGTCTGTTTGGACTCTTGAGAATGTGAAAGCTCTGCTGGCCAGTGACCCTTTCCTTGCTGCCTCAAATTCTGATCGGTGTTTTGAGTTGGCCATGGTGATGTCGGTGTCGTGCTCCTTCAAGCTAATTTGGAGAGGAATTCAACATTTGTCACTAAACTATTAAGAAAAAGGCTGTAGCCCTGATTCTTGCTCTGGGTCATTTGGATCTATGTGTGTCCTCCAGTGAGCCCGTAGTCGTCTACACAGACCCTAACCTCAGGTCTCTCTTGGTGCGGTCGGGTCTCTTCCTGCAGGGATTCAACCTCAACATCCAACATATTTTAGGTAAGGACAACATAATTGCTGACACTCTGCCAAGGTTACGAGTAAAAGTGCAAAACTTCATTTATTTATTTATTCATTTTTTGACTTAAAACATGTAGTTTCTTTGAGTAAAATTCGATCACTTAATTGAGCAAACTATTAATGAGAGGAGGTGTTATGTGCATAACTGTTTTTTTTTTTTTTTCTCTTCCAACCCTTGACTCAGCTCCAGATTACTGACACCTGTGGGCTGCCCTACAAAACCTGTGTGTGGCTCCTCCTACTCGCTCTCTCATACTGCAGCCAGGATCAGCAGCATAGCAGCAACCACTGATTCCTTTTCTTTGTTTTTGTTGGTTGATATTGTTTTAGGAAAAGCTTTGTTTTGCTGATTGATGGCCTTTTGGACCCCTCTATGTTGCTTCCCCTGAGGCATGGTCGTAACAATACAAGCAGAGTACAAATCAGGACTGAAACGGACGATGTGGCAAGAATAGAGACCAGGCTCAAGTAGGCGTTAGCCAATGCATATAAGTTTAACTTCTGTCAGGCACTGCAAACTTCTGCTAAAAGTGTATTGTGTGGACAGGTTCATCAACTCTTAAGCCACAAGGACACATTCTGCGACAAACTGGAGGGTAAAAAGGCTTCGGCTCGGGGTACGCAGAGGAAACTGAAAGGTTTAATACATATGCAAATTGTAAAAATCATGTGCCGTCTCTGTATCTCAACCCCTAAGGAGACATTTTGTATAAGAAAGCGCTCTCCATCAGCTTCATCAAAATACCAAATGAGTGTAAATCTTTTGGAAGAATAGCGTTCAGTCCCTTTGGTAGAACACCACGCCAAACAAAAGGATAAGAGATTTTTCAGAGACATGCTAAACAAGTGCAAAGTATGAATTTACATAATGCCTGATATGATTAAGTACCCACCGAGCAGAATGTGTGAAATGCTAATACTGTAATCTTTGCGAACCACACTCTCCATTCAGACCCTACCTGTAATCTCTGTGTCGTGTATATGTGCCGTGCCTGCAAACACGCCTCTGTGGGTGATTGGAATACAATCGTATTATGTAATATGGGTGTCGTTGTGTTTGTTCATGCAGGAAGGGCCCCCTATTCTGAGTCACACTTTAGTCCGTCTCTCTGATCCATAATCCTGTGATTGATCGTGGCACTTTAACCTAGAGGGTCCCGCTGTGTCCCGGATCGACCTGCAGCCATCTCCATCATATTCACTTAAACGGAGAGATCCTTCCGGTGTGAAAAATGGAGGAATGTCAGCAGGGAGAGAGAGGCAGCCCCTCTGCCACTGCGCCTCACACCGTGCACAGGAGTGGGTGGAAGCTGTAATGGATGAAAGAGGAAGGAATTTATTAAGCAGAGATAGATTACTGCTGATGTGTTTCAGTCTCTTATTCAGTTCATCAGTGAAAGAGCTTCTCCAGCTGAATTTTTCATTTGAACCTTTTTTTCTACTTAAGTGGAAGAACATACCTGTTTTATTTAATGTTTGTGTCTGTCTCCTACTGCTGCAGGAACATCCTTTTCTTAAGATTTTGTACGTTTTTATCAGATCTGCCAAATGTTATGAACCCTTTGAAAAGCAGAAAATACCTCCTCCTCAAAGGACACAGAGTGATCGGTATGCTCGAAGGACAGTTTAAGGAAAGAAATGTCTCTTGTCTTAAATGTTGAGCAAATAGTGAATTGAATACAAATCTCTTTTTTGTACCAACTTATGTTTTATTTATTCTTTATTTTCCCACTTTTTGGCAGCTTTAAACTATCTTCCTGTATTATAAAAACTTTTTCACTCCCTTGGACTCGTGGCTGGGGTCATCTTAAGTTTTTATGCCCGTGTGTTAAATTGTAATAGTCATCCATCTCTTTTTACAGTTTTTTTTTCTTAAAAATCTTCCATTTTAGTGTTAATACCGCGCCCAGCCTTATCTCCTACCCCTATTGTAAGACAGTACTCTCTGTCAGCCACCATAGGCTGTTTCAATATAATATATTAGGGTTGAGTCGAGCTTTACGAAAGATTGGGGAATAATATATTCAATAACTCTCTCTACTGATCTCATTATGCTGAATCCTTTGTCAAAATTTCTTTCTGGGTCAGTTTTTGCAGACGCTGATGAAGCTGGGCTCGTGTTCAGAAGCTTCCTCAACTCAGTGTTTCACTGCTGGAGAGTTGAAGGCATGAATTTTGTCATTAAAGGTGACCCAGAGCCTGGCAGGATACAACTGGCCCCCTTCAAATCCCAGTGGTTCAGATACTACTTTTGATTCTCAAAAGACTTGGGTGCCCTTGAAAAGAAGTGCTTCTTTGTCAGGCAAACCTAGCATTTTCCTCCTGGCTGCTGAAATGCGTCCTCCACCACCGACCTGCCTGGCACCACGGGGGGAGTTTAAAGAGATTCACAAAACCTTTTCAATCATCTAGCTTCCACTGAAGTTGTTCAGCCAAGAGTCTTGGTCAAAAGGGTTGGCAGGTCCTGGTGCTTCATAGTCTTTGATTAGCATTCAAGGGAGAGTATGAATCCCCCCCTGAAACAGCAGCAGTGGTCAAACCCTTGAAAGAAGCTTTCTTAGGTACCCTTCTAGCTGTGTGGATAAGAACTGCTGCTGAAACAACAAGAGGCGAGCGTGGCTTTATACCAACAGATTCTCTTCATTTCACACAGAGGTGCTGAGATTGGGATGAGGGACTCTTGATTTCAATCATCCTGAATCAAATACAGCCCACCAGTGACGAGTCTGGACTGCGAGCAAACCAGTTTAGTACCCGGACTCCGACTACAAACAACAGAGCAGCTTTAAAGGCTCATTTATGCTCACATGGAAATGTACGCGTCTGTTTCAAACGATGGTTCCGTCACTGCCCACATACTTCCATATGTCCTTTACATTGGCATGGATTGTAACCATTACATCCACCAGGGGGCAGGCCGGAGTCAAAAGTTTCTGACAACAACAGACAAAAAGAAACATGACGACTGTGGAGAAATTGATGAATATTGTCATTTTAATACTTCAGGATGTCCGCCAGGTCATTTGACAACTTGCTTGCCGGATGCCGTCTTTGTTTCTCTCTAGAGATGCGTATCGGGTAGTGACAGCAGCAACACTGCCCCCGCAGTTTCCAGTAGTACTGCTCCGTCTGGCCTGTATCCGTAAACTTCAAGGATACGTGCGGAAATGCGGATGAAAAGATCGTGAAGCACGGACTGAGAGCTCCGTCCATATCCATATGTAACATTGGGCATAAATGAGCCTTAAGACATAGAGAAGCGGTTTGTTATTGTCTGAGTGAAATATGCGAGGTCCTTGAAAAGATGCATGGCCTGGGTGGCAGTATATGTCGCTCCCAAAACTGTTTTACTCAGTCCTAATAAAGTTCCCTAGATGTGTAAACTACTCATGTCATGAGCATCAATGAATATCAACATGGTAGCTGCTTAATGCAAAGAGCTAACCCAAAGATGACCAAAAGAGGCATTCGTAAAGTATGATTAATGGTCATTTCAGAGTTTGCCATTTGTTGACCAGAAGATTTTTCTACAACCACCTGTTATTACACAACTTCAATTCTTCTTTTTTGCTGGCTTTGCAGGTGCAAAACTTTAAACTGTTTATCAGTGAATATACAGACCGGCAGGAGTGTGTGTTGTGTCTTCCTCGTGCTTGCATGGGCTTTCAGAGTGTGCAAGCATAGACCTCCCCATGGACCCATTCAAAAAAAAGTTCTGCACCTCCACAGGGTACCTCATAAAAAGTTTCAGTGTGAACCCGTTATATGAAAATCTTTCTAAGCTTTGCACACACACACACACACACACACACACACACACACACACACACACACACACACACACACACACACACACATAATTTGAATCTGACTACAAGGTTGAACTGAACCATCTGTAGTCCACACATTTGCAAAAAAGACATCTCAACACTCCTCTGAGAATCAAGTATCTTGGTTTATAGTTTGTTTTTTTTATTCTGTCTCACACTGACAGCAGTCCTCCCACAAATGTTTTTTTTTTTTTTCACCCCACTGTAGAGATAGGGGAGGATGAATAAAGAAGGAACTGAGGAGTGAAAATACAAGATCTTTGAGTGGAGCGCCAAGCACAGATTTCTTCTTCTATTATTATGAATGTTTCCTAAATGCTCTCTCGTGCTCTAAGTACAAATAAACGTTTCCGTCTCGCTGCTTTTTCTGACTGTGTATTCCAGCAGGAAGGGCCTTCTTGTTCGATGGCGGCGCCGTCATCCGAGGATCGCACATACGTTCCAGAAAGGAAGCCGAGTTGAGGTAACAAAACTAGAGTGAGATTGAGGCACTATGTTTTTGCTTAACATATCACTCTGATGATATCCGACAGAAAAGCTGTCGTTTGTTGATTGTTGATTAGATGTTGATTTCCTTTCACAGCAACATCATCACACAGGGAAACTTTAACACTGCATATCTGCAACGCAGCGCCAGTAACACTCAAGTACCTCTTGTTCTCTGTGTTCAACAAGTCAGTACAGGCATAACAAGTGTTCTTCATGGACACATAAAAATACACAAGGGCTGTTTCGAAAGCTGTTACCATGGTAATTTAGCTTCAAAACAGGGCTCTTGGCAGGAGCTTTTGGTCATGGAAAAAAAAAAGAAAAAATGGTAACAGATCATGTTTTAAAAAACTTGAAATCTTGTAGGGCTGGCAAATCAGAGGGCATTAAAGACCAAGAATAAACTTTGTACTGAGGAACATTTTCAAATGAGGGTTACTGCAGGTCAAGAACAGGACATTTGATCACTACAGCCCAGAGAGCTCGCTGTCAAAAAGCCATAAAACAGTTTCACTACACAGCCCCGGGTTTAGTTGAGTTGTCTCAGACTTTAAGGGGACTGCGTTTTACAAAGTCCACAACTTATGAGCAAGATATTTATCCTGTTTGAACAAGTGACCAGGTGAGACAGACACTTTGGGATGTTTCATACACGTATCTTATCTTGTGTTCCAGCCTTTAAAGTCTGACATGGATTTCATATATATATATATATATATTCATTACTACTGCATACACACTTTGCACTCACATCACCAAAGCTGTTGTTAACATAAGGCCACTCAAGCTGACTACATAACCGAGCAACAAATACTCTGCTGCAGAACAACATCCTTTCAGCACACTCCCAGTCACACACAAACACACCATCTACAGACTGTTATCACTCTGCAGACTTTAATCTAAGGCACAGTTTGTTTGTCACAGTTCAGGCTGGACTAACATGGACTCAGGATCTCTGCAGATGATGTCCTACTTTAACCTTGGATCTCACTAACAAATGTAATTGAATGTGTCCACAGGAGGCCTGTTTAGGTTCACAAACTAAACTCAGGGCAGGCTCAGTGTGCCACTGATCTTTTTGCTCAGCAGGAGTTGGTGCAACAGTGAAGGCAAACCTGGTTTTGCCCTCAGTCAGTTAATTTACTGAGACAGAAGGATGCAAATCCTTCTTTTTACTCTTACATAGAAAGATGAATCGCAGACAAGGGCATAAAGTTATCTTTTTTGACAAAACACACTGGGATGAAATCGCTGCCAAGGTTGTGGGGACGTTTTTTTAATGGATTCAATACAATAAAAAAAAAGGTTAAGCGAGTTCGATTAACTGTTTAACTTTACCTTTGTACAGAAAGAAGTCTGAAATCAGTTTAGACTTAGACACTCCCAAAAAGTGTAAGGAGAACCTTAAACTGCAAACACAGATAATATCTATACTGCAGCGAGTCACCAGGGGGAGCTCTAGATATCAGGGCTTCATGTGGCTGATGTTTCTGTCTACAGTCAGTGATGGTGATTTTTTTTAGTTTGCATAGTTTTATCCTTCTGCTTTTTAAGTTCTGAGTGTCCAAGAAAATAACCCAATAAATACTTTTTTTCATTATTTGTCCAAAATTTAACAAAAACAATTTGTTCTAAGGTGCAAAAACTTCACTATGGCTCAACAACATGTATCTGCAAAGTCTAATAATTTGAATCAAAGCTTTTCAAACTGGTTTATCAATTAAGTGTAAGAAATAATTTGACGCTGACCTTTCATCAGTTTGTCTGATTGTGTTGAATAAGTTTATTTATTTATTTATTTATAAATTTGTGATGTTTTTGATTTGTTGACTGAAATATCGATACAACTTCATCCTTAAAAAAAAAAAAAAACGAAACACAAATTTTGCTGCTAAATTTTAACCAATCATCACCATGAAACAGACGCACAGGGATTCTGTCCGCCCACTGGTGATAAGTAGTTGTCATTACAGAGACCCACCCCTGAGGTTCTCTCTGGGTTTCCTTAGATAACACAGCCACAGGTGAGGCAGGAGAAAACACCAATGACACACCAGTTACTACACAATACACCACACACTGCTGCACCGCACATCCACACTACACTTACTGGTCCTTATCAGGATGCTCCAGCCAGCCCTTCAGAGGCTTGCTAAACACAGATCACTGAATACACCCAACTGAATTAGTACACACAGGACTGCACACGTGCATGCACACTAACTAACACACACAAACGCACATTTCTGTGGCAAAGGTTTTCCTATTTGCATTTAGATTTGAGAATATTACTCTATGATTCTCTTACTTTATCTCGGCCGCCAGTCCTCATGCCCCACCAGCTCCTTTTAAAATTCCCCATCTCACACCTGAGCAAAGTTTGACCAAGCAGGTACCCAGGTGAAACCAGGGGAACTTATCTGCAGTCCTTTACATTAACCAACCTGAACTCAACCAATCAGAAATTTAGTCATCAATACATGTCAGTAGATTTACACCTCAGTGTGCAGAGGTTTACAAATGTACAATACAGTCACTGTCTATACTGCATAAAAGAGCCATAAGAATAATTCATAATACCAGTTATAGAGATCATACAAATTCACTGTTCTTAGAATCAAAAACATTAAAATTCACTGACCTGGTTCACCTTCAAACAGCATAAATCATGTACAAAGAAATAAACAATCTACTGCCTGGGAATATCCCAAAATTAGAATGATCATCTGAGGGGGGACTTTAACTGAGAGCATCAGCGGGAATGTACGACATTAAAAAGTTTTTGTGATTCTGTTTGTGGAGTAAGGTAGTGAAACAGATCAGGTGTGGAGCTCAAGAAATGTCCAAGGATGACCCAGTTTAAAAAGCGGTACAAAAAGATGGTTCTCACCAGGTACAGGGAGGAAGAAAGGTTGATGATTTATGTACTTATTTGCTATATTTATGTTCTATTTTGTGTTAATATAATGTAAATATGTTGGAGACTGACTGTTTATTAAGTAGAGGAGAAGGGGTATGTATGACTCAAAAACTTTCAACTGGAGCTGTATTTCTTTTAAAGTATTTTAGAATTCTTGATACATTAAAATTCCAACAGAAGTATTTTGTCTTTAGCAACTTAACCCAAACAATTGAAGTTTAATGTTTTATTATTATTTTTAAAATGCAGAAATTCAGGAGTCAGCCGACAACAACACTTAGCTCGCCATCCCACATACCACAGCACTGCCTCCAGAAACAAACCTCCCTCCACCTCCACAGCCTCCCCTGAATGAGAACATGAATTTTGAATTTGCCAGGAGGGTTATAAGCTCAGGGACAGTGTGTGCTTGGATGTGTTTCTGAGCATCATGCAGAAGAGCCATTCTGTCAAACTAAACGATATATTGCTGCAAAAACATGTCTGTAACCCTGACTTGAGAGTCCTGACTGACAGTAAACCTCAAAGACGTATCCAGCCTGTGTTGTCGAGACCTGAGTCTGTCTGCAGATAGACAGAACAGTTCTGCAGATCCGTGCCTGCAGGCTGGGATAATGCCATCGCTGATTGAAATCTTTGACTCAGATCTTGCCCCTGTTTGAAGTTGCATGCCCCCTCACTGTGCGTGCATTTTCTCTGGGTTGCAGGTGTCTGGTCATGATACAGCCCAAGGAACACGAGCACTGATAAAATGAACTATTACCCACAATTTGATTGAACTGTCAGCATCTCTCCGTTTTTTTGACAAACCTGACAGTGCTGTGTTTCTTTCTCTCCGTTTTATGTTCCAACAATAGACTCTCGCTGTAATAGCCTCAGGAACGTGATAAAAACAAGGTTGATTCCTGTGTCCTCTATTATGTATTCATTAAGGAAACACAATTTAAGGGACTTGCTTTTTGTCTACAGTGACAAAGCTTCTCTTTTGTGTGTAACACCTGAGAAACAAGCATTTTTGGATTAAAAAACAACAACTCTGCTGTGCCTGAGTTATTTCGAGTTTTACTCATGTTCTAAATAAGTAGTGTGTGTTGTAGGGAGCAAAAGGCACCCCGTAGAAGATCTAAGAGGGGTTACTTTTGGTCTGTCTGGCTCCCTTTTAATACGGCTAAATCACAATAGAAACCTACTATATATCCAACATCTATTCAGATCCTGACCACTATCATTTCACGAGGAACATCAGTAAGATCCAATACACATAATTACCAGGAAGAACAGTTTAATATGAATCTTGAACCCTGTAGGACTCTAGGTCCAATATGCAAACAGCTCTGGACAGAGCCTTCAACCAGCACTCATTCATTTCATTGATAAGATCAAACTTTTAATGTTAAACTTTCATGAAAATACTCCTGAAGAGCAATCGACAGGTGACAATTGCATCTTTGCAGGAGGAAGAAGTGTCAACTGTTACTTTGAGCAACCCATTAATATATGAGCACAGATCTTAAGCTGTCAAATCAGGAGCCACGGGGTCTCCTCCTGGTGAGACATGTCTGGAACACCTCTAACGGGAGGCGTCCAGAAGGCGTCCTACCCAGATGCCCGAGCCACCTCAGCTGACTCCTCTCGACGTGGAGGAGCAGTGGTTCTACTCTGAGCGCCTCCCGAGTGTCCGAGCTCCTTACCCTATCTCTAAGGCTGAGCCCGGACACCCCGCGAAGGAAACCCATTTCGGCCGCTTGTATCCGTGATCTTGTTCTTTCGGTCATTACCCAAAAATCATGACCATAGGTGAGAGTCGGCACGTAGATCGACCGTTAAATCAAGAGTCTTGCCTTACGTCTCAGCTCTTTCTTCACCACAACTGATCGGTTAAGCGTCCGCATCACTGCTGAAGCCGCTCCGATCCACCTGTCGATCTCCTATTCCATCCTACCCTCACTCGTTAACAAGATCCCGAGCTACTTGGACTCCTCCTCTTGAGGCAGGACCGCCCCTCCGACCTGTAGAAGACAATCTACCTTTAGTTTAGTTTTAATTGTTGATAATCCAAATTATGAGCAAATAAAGACTGAGCTGTCAAAATGACTTCTTATAGTCATTCTAGTAGTTGCAGAATTTTGTTAGACCAAGTATTAAGACATGTAACAAGGTGTTTGCTTGAAGTTTTCTGTAAAGCCCGAAGGGAAACGGACCAAAATTGTATGTATGTTGATGCTGTTTGGCATTCAGGCCATTAGTGAAGATCAAACGTCTCTTTTCCCAAAGTGAGGATTTCATGTTTCTCCAAATCTGCCTTCAGGATAAGCAAGGAGAAGATTATTAATGCCGTGAAAAGCAGAAAAGAATTTCAACCTCCGGACACGTTAAATGAATCGATGTTCTTGTCTGGATTTAGCGTGTTTCTGTTTAGGTTCCCTGAGGAAAGTAGGCGCGTTTCACTGCTGCTTTGAGTGTGCGTGGATATGTGTTCCCAAACAGCTCATTTCAGCAACAGCCTGTAAGCCAGAGCTGTTGGGGTTGCATCACTTAGCTCAACTCTCAGTCTCCTGCAGCTTTAGTGGTAGGCAGCTCCATTCATCTTCATTCCCAGTTCCGACCTGATGCTCTTTTTTCCCCATCTCTTCATCTGTAAACATCACAGCAAATATGAAACCCCGCTGAGAGAGGATTGATTTTTACAATCTGCGCTGCCTGGTGCAGCAGCCTCATAGTACAAAGTGGAATTGCTCTGCTCTATTAGTGATTTATTCTGTGTAATAAGTGCGTGCATGGCAGACTTTTGCAGCACGTGACTTTCAGTGTGCTTTGCAGGCTAAAATTCACTTACTCGACACGCTGATGCACTCAGAGTATAGAGTGGAAAAAAAAAAAAACATACATCCCTGATTAAATGTAGCTCTTAAAATGTAGCTGCTGGATTTAACTTGTCAAAAACAGACATCGAGTGATTAAGAAATCCCCCCTCTAAACTAGTTTTGATTGTAACAGCAGAAAGAAAAGAGTACTTTAAACTGCAGGTCTGTATTAGAGAACACTTCCCTGGGGAAGAAGAAAAAACTTGAATCAGCTTTTAAAAATAAAGCGCCACCTCAAGCATTCAATTTTTTTTTTTCAATTAAGTGTCGCACATCTGAGTTCAGGATGTGTATACTCAAAACTATGCATTCTACAAAAACTCAGTGATTGAAAGCATGTTCAGGGCATGAAGGATCTACTGTATGTTCAAGATTTGCAAATCTATGCCTGCAGTCCGTGTGCACAGATTGTTATCCATCATATTACAAAATTTGAAAGATTACTAAGCTCTAAATTCCTCATTAGCAACGGAGCAGAAAGGTTTGCACTTTGGTCAATGTTTTTATTTATTTATTTATTTCCTATTATATTTATTTAATCATTCCTATTATTATTATTATTATTATTATTATTATTATTATTATTATTATTGTTGTTGTTGTTGTTGTTGTTGTTGTTGTTGTTATTATTATTATTATTAATTTATTTATTTATATTTTTTTATTTTTTATATCCACTGGCTCCTCTGTGTCTCTGCTCTGCCCATCCAGAGTCCTCCTCAGAAGGATCAGGAGGAAGACAGAAGGTGACACATCAACACAACATTAAAAATCCAATCTTTTCTCTTTTGAAAATATAAAACTCTATTTTGACACAAAATAACTACACTAACTAACTCATAGTGAGTAGAGCAAGGTCTGGAGTCAATCGGTCAGGGTTTTTAGACCTTATCATGGAGGTAGAAAAAACATGTATTCTTTATTCAACTGGAGACATCCTTGGTCTAGCTCCAAGCTGTGCTCTGAAAATGCTGCAAGGGGATATGGATGGACGAAGAAGCATGAAGCCAAAGTAGACCAGTGCAGAGACGGACCAATCACAAATATCCCACACAGCCTCCAAATCTGCAACATGGGTTAGAAATCTAATCTGTGTGCAGGGTGCATAGAGGTCGGTGATTAAACTGTGCACACCATTTCCTTATCCCTGACAACAATCATAAATCTGTTGCCACATATTTACAAATCTGTTACCCTGGACAACAAATGTCCATGCACCAAAATTCCACTGCTTGCACATGGGTTTGCAGAATGTGCCCATGGATTGCACGATGCTTGGCTTTGATTAATTTGGAGCCACTCTTGAGTGAAAGCAAACAAGTGGACATAATGTAACTACTTCAGAAGGACGTGAGCATTGAGAGGTGCATCATGGGTAATGTATCGGTGCTATTATAAATCTGAATATAAACACCAAATCAGGGAAATCCAACTTCAAGTCACTTTATAATCTCCTTTGAAAACATTTACTTATTTTTATTCTATTTTATGTTTTATATGACAAAAACATCCAGTTCATTTTTAAAAACCTTTGAAACATATTAAAAGTTTTCTTAAACTTCCATCTCTGTAATATTGCAGTTACATTTGTCTGAACTGTTTTTTTCGCCTGCTAAAATCTTAAATTGGTTCATCATCTCAGTGCTTTATCAGTAATTTAATGAGTTTTTCTTTCTCTTTCATCAGGAGCAAACATTTTCTTCTTTTCTCTGTTTGAAATAAAATCATATAGCCTTTGAAAAAAAAAAAATATATATTTCCCAGTGTTGTCTGTGATGATTTGGACCTCATTTTTTTCTATCAAAGGTCTCTTCATCCAACCCTCCTTTAGGGTGCACTCATAATTAGTCATATGTGGTGTGAAAATATCTCTGACGGGGGATGAACACCTGTTGAATACACTTTTCCAAGCTCTTATAAAGCTCTTACTATCCATACCAGAAGGTGTTTTCTTCATGTGTCGGCCTCTGGGGATCATCTTATTTCTGATTTGGTCGTAAAGATTAATGGTGTGCAATCTGGTATAAATCATATGCAGCTCGCCCCCGGAGACCCCTTGGTCTGTGTATGGGCAGAGTGTTTGAAAAGATGGAAATATGGCGAGTTCTAGTTATAGACTGTATGTAGAATGGACGCCGTCTGCCTCCTTGATGGGTGAAGCCACTACATGAACAGCACCCTCTGGTGACAGGCTGCAGTATAGGTCATATACTCCTCCAGCAATCCCTATGGAGCTGTGGACAAACTTTAGAAATTGATTACACAGAATATAAGTTGTTACATACGATACAAGTTGTCCATAGTTTATACAGTCTATGGGATAGCTGTTGGAGTCAGGCGTCTTTGCCAGAAGCAAAAATGAACCAGTAAGAAGAGTCAATAATTAATTTGTCTGAATTTTAGTAAATCTCACACATGAACTAAGGTCTTACATTGTCCAAGATTAAAGCAGTTTACATCTTGTTTCTAAGATTATGACAACATACGTTGACCTCATGATTTGAAGCGTACATGCAGTTTGGACACCAAACGTAACTTTGAAGTTTTTCGTTGTAAATGTGGAAAAGTATGATACCCCCCACCCTCCTTTAATTCATCGTCCACAAACAAAAACTGCTAAATTTTGGGACCAGGATTTTAAAATGCATTGAGCTCAGCAAATGAAAGGCTTTCAATCAAAATCCAATCACACTGACTAACCCTGTTGTCACTTATAGCGAGACATAAGTGGCCAATACATTAGGGATTTAGACAGGCAGCAGCCAACATCTCTGAATTACTTTAGGAAAATGCTTCTTTACTCCTCTTCAACTTGATTTTAATCCCTTCTGGAGCTTTGCCTAAACCCTGCACTCTAATAGAAACAGAGCTCTGACTGACACAGGGGACTGACCACTTTTCTCAAAGTTAATTGAATGCTACAATTATAAGACCACAGTGCTCAGTCTCTCTCCCAAACAAACACACACACTGCTGCCCACAAAGCTGCATGCAGAAATTAACTGAAACTCAAAAATAACATTAAGGATCTATGATTCCCAGGGCTAATAAGAATCCCGTACACACAGTCAAAGGGATTTGGTAATTTACTTATGAAAGTTTGAGTTATGAAAAGAAATGCTGTCAATGAACCTGAATGCTGCCTGTATGAAGCATGGATCCTGAAAACAGTTCTGAGGTTAAATGATCCCAAGGCTGTGTTTAATAAGTTGGGAAGTTTGCCTGGAGCTGGAAACTGTAATTCCTTTTTTCACGCATGAAAATTGACCAAACTGGTCCAGAAATCTGAGATGTAATTGGTTTCAAAACACAAACAAACTCTTTGAAAGAGTGCAGGAGTAAAGCATGTCCAGAGGATTACTGAAAATCTTAAACCAATCATACTGGGACCATGGAATAGGGTTATATATGTAATGCAGGACATCATGGATGTACACAAACACACACATATATTATATATATAGTATATATATAAAATTTAAATAAACTTCTGTATTGTGTTGTTTGTTTGTTTTCTGGAGGTCTACTGAAATGCTAATAAGAAAGAAGTGACCATATAAACAGTATATATATATATATATATATACAGTCTGACCAAAGATCTGTATTTCATCTTAACTAAAATAAGTGCAAATACAAATGCACTCTCATGGTAAAGGGGATATTAAAAAACATAGAGACCAAACACAACAGCATGAATTTCATATACAGACAGACTCGCACATTTCTCTTGGCCCATTGATTTATTCTTGTGTGTTTTTATTTTCGATGCAGCATTTATGCATTTTCACGGCATAAGTATTTCAAGTTGGTTCCCATTTGTCATTCGTACCCTGCTGGGTTCTACTGGCAGCTTTACTGTTGAATTTTTTCACTTTCTTTTTGCAGTTTAGAAATTATCTGGAGCCCTGAGACCCAGTCTTATAGGACATAAAATCAGGTAGATAGTTTTTTATACTGGTCACTTATTTATCTGGAAGAGCGAAGCAAAACTTAACAAAGGACACAGCCCTGCTTCTTAGTGTAAAACATTCAGCTATCAACAGTTTTGTTCCACTTCTCAGCCAGTAAATCCAGGATTTATTGGAGGCTGTAGGGTGCAGTTTACAGCTCCAATAAAATGAAGTAGGGAGGTAGAAAGTAAAGATCAGGAGTATCTCACTCAAGGGTGTAATGGGTTCACATTTACTTTTCCCTGAAACCCAGGGAAAGGCTCCTACTCATGAGGAAATATCTCTCATTGCTGATACAGTGAAATTGAGTTTTAATTGCAACAGGGGGCTTGGAGACCCAAGTTTTCTTTTTTTGTTTTGTTTTAATTGTGGGGTGATCCTGGGCTGCCAGAAGACGAGGGCACTGTCACTGTTGTCTCCTCACATAAATGTCAAACTTCAACCCTGCACAAGCTGAAAATAACAGCATGAGACACTCACAAAGCTCTAGAAGAAACCTTCAGTAGGATGGGCGTGTTTTTGCATGTTTCTTTAGATTCCTACAGCTGCTAATAGCTGCTAACTAAAAATATGACCAACCATCATGTGCACATACACTGATAGAGACTAGATAGTATCCATAACACATGCAATACAAAATACAGCGCTGTGAACCTGCAGCAACAATATGTAAATACTTACGCTGACCTA